TGTATCACAGAAGTGCTTGCATAAAGCTCGAGTGATCCCACAACCATAGGTTTCCTTCTTAGCTTAGCTTGGTGAAAAATAGATTCGGTTCCACTGGTGAGATTGCACCACCTTGAAACCATGGTTGAAACCATAACGTTTGCTGGTATTTGCCGGGGACTCGAATCATTCCCTTGGGTTTCTGGAGGTCGTGGCTCCTCGTTCCCTTCCGCCGGTCACCGCGTCACCACCCAAGAAACCCAACGAATGAATCGATGCCCCAACGAAAACACCCACCAAACCCCATCGGGTTTCCAACCCATGGGCTTTTCGCAGCCGCTCCTCCTTCCGGTCCTTTCCGCGTCAACGCCGTCCGGACACCGCGTCCGGCGTCGGCAACGGCGAGGAGATCATGGAGAAGCGGGTGAGCAAGAGCCCCTCGCCCATCGAGCCTCGGGCCTCCAAGGGCTTGGCCATGAAGTCCAAGCGCCTCGGACGGCGAATTAGCCGCCGTCTCTTTTTATTTGTTTATTGTATTTATTCATGTATGTTTTTTTGTTTTTGTTTTTCATTTATGTATTTATTTACTTTCTTATTTACCTACTTGTTCATTTATTGTTTATTTTTTTTATTGATTGATTGATTCATTTATCTATTTCTTAAAAAATAAATAAATAAGAGGGGGTCACTGGGCTCCTGCAAAATCAAATCCACCCCAAAACATGTGTGCCCCCTTTTCCTTTTTCGCGTGCTTGAGCTGAAGTCCTAAAATCGATTCCAAAGGGGCAGTAGGTTTGGTTCCTGCCTTCGTATGGGCTCATGGTAAAGCCTACATGAGCCACAATCACAACCCGGGTAAGTGAAGGTTAGTAAGGGACGATCCCAGCCATAAATAGCTGCGGCATTCCGCCTTGTTAGTTCTTTACATGGTTCTGGGTCGACCATTTTTGTACCGGGTTTTGATTGTGACTCACATGAACCTTCATAAACATGTTACTAGAACCAAATGTCAATGGACCTTTTGGGTGCTCACTTGAGGGTGCGGCACTGGAACCATGTAACAACTGCAGCATTCTCCTTGCTAAACGGCGCAAATTAAAAAGCCGTCAGAAGGACCAAGCTGAGTGTTGGGTGGTGGGGTTTTCTTACTCCCTGAGTTCCTGATCCATACTTTTTTTGGTAAGACCGCTCGCCGTTCAGTGGCAAGCAAACTTTCGGGCTTTTTTGGGACAAGCCGCTTTTCGGGAGCGAGTCTTCAAAATATTCCGAACCTCCTTGCAAATTGTTTTTCCCCCATGCTCAGGGAAGCCAGTTTTGGGTGCCAATTGTTTGGTGTTTCGGGAAAACACGGGACGAAACCCATGAAACATTGACATGGTCAAGCAACATACCAGTCGGAGCCACTTGTTTGGTCAGTTTCTTCAACTTGACAAGCAGTCGTAGGGAAGGATTCGAATCCTTTGGTATCATGGACGGGGTTATTTTCCACAACCATCGAATTCATCATTTGGGTGTGTGTCAAAATTGGGTGATCCAAGTAAGAAATGGATCTTAGTTTCCCTTTGGGTTCCCTGCAAACCCTGCACGGACCCTGCACATTTTAAGAACCCTGCACGGACCCGTTGTCAACCAAAAAGTTCAGCCCTCAAAAAGTCTGTGTGTTTCTTTTGGCTCCCCTTCAAAACCACCCTCAATTCAACATGTGTTCTTTTCTTTGCTTCCCTGGAAGACCCCAAGCAAGCGTGAAGTTGGATCGTTGGGTGTCCTCGGACGACTTTGATTGCGCTGCAGGAAAAGGCTGTTTCCTTGAACCTTCGCGGACTTTTTTTTAAATGTAATCAAAGAAGCATGCTTCAGATCCTGAAACAAACGTGCTTTATGCAGGGCATGTTTTCGCAGGTGCTTTGGATTACGACTCTGGGAGGTCAAATGTCCGCAACCGGCGGTTTGGATTCCGATTCAACATGGGTTTCGCCCGGAAAAAGTATTTCAGCGGGCGTGTTTTTTTTGCTGAAATCCCCCCAAACGAAGAAAACACACGTGAAGAACGTGTGTTCTTGGCCGGTTTAAAAGCGGGGAACCGTTGGATGTTTTTTTCTTTTGGCAAGGAAGTCCAACATTTCTTTTTCGGCCGGGGCATGGCTTCGTTGTTCGAGGGGGTTTGAAGCCCAAGCAGTTGATACCCAGCCAGTGATGGGACATGGAGCGGGACTTTTCCGGCTTTATACCCGCGGGGTTCCTGAGGTGCCAAGAAACCGTTTCGCTCAGCTGAGACGTGTGCCTGTGATAACAGCTCGGCTGGAGTAGAACAAAGAAGAACAAGAAAGAAGACACCAAAGGATTCAAAAAAAAAGATCCAAATAAGCCATTCGACAAGCCGATTCCAAAGCCGCGGGTCTTTCAAGACACTTACACTCTCTGGACGAATGCAAAGAACTTGCGCCAGTGATTTGACTCAGGTCGGTGAACAAATTCCTGAAAGTCGTGGTTGCACGGCGATCGTCGGATTCCAAAACAGCCTCTTGGCACCGCCGATCCGGCCCGAGAATTCCAGACAGGGGTTTGTGTGTTGCCATTTGGTTTTGAAGGATCATCTTGTGGAGCGTCCAATTTAAAGCGAGCTTCCCTTGGTGTGATGTTTGAAATCGAAATTCGTGGGGGCCTTGGCAGGAGGCTTGCAACCTGCTTCTTCGCAGCGAAGGGATCCCCCAAACCCTTCCTCAAAGATGATCAACGTAGTCCATTGAACGGTTTCCTTTGGCCGGTCTGGACCTGCCAATCAAGCTTTCCAAAGGCACCCATCTTGCTATTTCTCAGTTGTCCACAGCAAAATCGATCTTTTAGCCTTTTGGTTGCCCCTTTTTTGGTCGCCCCTTTTTTGGTCCATGTTCAGCAAAGGTCCCAAGAAAGGGTCACCTTCTGTGGTACCCCTAGAAAAGTGGGGGCTTCTTTTGACGTTGGAAAGGGAGCAAACAATTAAATTCTAGCAGTTAGGCAAAAATGTAAAATGTAAAATAGATTTCTCACTAAACCCCAACAAGCAAACATGGAACACAAAACAACATGTTTCTATGCAGGTCCTTTGCGCAACTGAAACTTGGTACTACCTTCCTTGGCGTCGGATGCAAAGCCGTGTGATGCTTGGAAGGGTTCAACCCGTGGCCTGATTTATGTGCCTGCGCCTTCCAGTTGGTGTCAAACTTGCCTTGGCCGATGTGATCCACCATGCGTGTCAGTGTGATCTCTTGGTCACCGTTTTGTGTGTAAGAGTGCCTTATTAATGGCTGCACACTTTCTTCACGGCATCGGTGGATGACCCTCTTGGAACCCTAGCACTCCTTTGTTCCGTTCGGAACCAGCGGAATGGGACCTCTCCCGCGGAAAGAGCAACCCCATTCTTCGCCGGATGAATTGGGAAGGTGGAGCTCGGGTTCAGTCCCGAACGATTGTTCCATACAAGCTTGCTTGTGCGATAGGCAGGGAATGTGGAAATGGCCCCGAACCATCACTTCTGGTTTCCTTTAAATTGGACCCCTGGGTTCATTCCATTTCTCCTTCCCTGCTTCTCGCACTGGCAAGCCAATCTTGGTGCGAACTGGGATCTCGGAGTTGAGGAAAGCACCAGTTGGATGGCCATTCCTTCATTCCCTGCTGAGCACTAGCAAGCAACTTCGCAAGCAACTTCGCAAGCAAAAGTTCGCGGGATGATTTCCCACCCGGATCCCCGAAGCTCCGCAGGCATTCATGAAATCCACCCCAACACCCCACGCCCTCAGGCCCTGCGCCCTGCGCCTCGCCCAAATGAAGAGACATCGACCCATAAAGAGGCCATTGCAGGAAACCAGCATTGCAGGGGGTAATGTTGACTGCATATTAATCAACCCCAGTTTATAAATGGGTGTTCCCCTCCCAAAGTGATGATCCCACTAAACCCAGGGACCCCCCTATTTCATATGAATTCAACATTATCTAGGGGATTTGGACCAAAACGGAGAATGTTGGTTTGGATTCGAGTTCAGCACCCCATCGCCAAACCATCGGAGTGCCCCGAGTTTCAGGACATTGCTCCGCCGAAGGTGGAGTTTGAGACGCCCCCAGAGCCTGCAAAGAGGCGGGAGCTTCAATCCTAACGGCCGGGGGGTGCCAATTTTTGAGAGTAGCCCCACTGCTATCGGGTTGGATCTGTAGACTTTAACTTTTTGTGAAATCAAGGGGTTTTCCACTAGACCCCCAAAAGTTAAACTTTTTGTAGGGGGGTCAACAGCAACCAAGCCTTCAGGGTTGTTTTAAAGGGAAGCCAAAGCGAACCCATTTTTTTAATGTGGGGAGGGGGGGGGGGTTTCCCTCAAAAAGACAAACCCATACAAGGGGCTAAATAGGCTCCCATGGTTTATTCCTGTAATCATGAATCATGACTATGTTTGGCTTTAAAGTCGGCAGAACCCAGTTTACAATACATGCCTTACCTCTTTAGCTGGCAATATTTTAGAAACACATTGCACATGTCTTCATCATATTACTTGAGCTTTCTCTTGCGGGTCATTTCACCAGCTCAGATATGACCTGTATATGCAAATGTGTTCATAGGTATGGGCATGTGTTTTATATGTATATACCCAGCCCCAGTAGAAGCAAATGAATGAATGAATGAATGAATGAATGAATGAAATGAATGACTGAATGAAATGAATGAATGAATGAATGAATGAATGAATGAATGAATGAATGAATGAATGAATGAATGAATGAATGAATGAATGAATGAATGAATGAATGAATGAATGAATGAATGAATGAATGAATGAATGAATGAATGAATGAATGAATGAATGAATGAATGAATGAATGAATGAATGAATGAATGAATGAATGAATGAATGAATGAATGAATGAATGAATGAATGAATGAATGAATGAATGAATGAATGAATGAATGAATGAATGAATGATTGAATGAATGAATGAATGAATGAATGAATGAATGAATGAATGAATGAATGAATGAATGAATGAATGAATGA